GGCGCTTAGCATGGAAATGAAGAGTCTGCATGAAGAACCCGTCGAAGGCTTTCGAGTGAAGTTAGTAAACGACGAGAATTTATTCGAGTGGGAAGTGGCTATTTTTGGTCCTCCGGGAACCCTCTATGAGGGTGCTTACTTTAAGGTACTGTATTTAAGTACTGAGTTCAAAAGTCAATAAAGAAACCATTCATTTTGTGATAACTTGTTCAGTTTTCGTATTGCAGATTGTTTGGCAGGCTATTGTTTCGGATCGCTTTTGTCACTGTATTGTTTATTAGATAGTCTTAAAAAGAAATTGTTGCTATTTGGTCTATACGGTATTTCTTTGCTGCATCCAAGTCTTGTTTATCGTGTTTTCATGGAACTCATGTTTCTTCTTTTCTACCTTGACTAAGTTAGCGGTTCAATGGAACAGCATGCCCTATTTTACCTTTGCTCTACTTCTGCTGCTTCTGTTTGCCGTTAGACGTTCAATGATGCTTGAAGGTTTTGAGAAATTGGAGCAGAAAGGATTTAATGCTTTGAATCATAAATTATGAATGAACAAACACTTCTTCACTCTCTCCCTATTTTTCATTTACTTAGTCTTCGTTAGTGTAAAATGATTGGCGTTTTTCTTCCGTATTTGCCTTTCATGATTCAATTCTCATTTGAACCGTTTATCAGTAGTTGTTATAGTTTTTGTGCATTTGTCTTAGTTAATTATCATCGGTTTACGAACCGTGGTTCAAGGCAACAGTTGAAAACGAAAATGTAAATTTCCTTAATAGGCGACGTGTTTTAACGCCACAAACCGGCAATATTATCAGGGTATTTGTCTTCGCACTGACTTCGTCTCTGTTTTCACTTTCACCGGGTTTGAAAAATATCCAGTTCAGTTTTGAAGAACACAGCATAACGTAGGCCAGTTCCTATTGCGCTTTAAACTCTTGAAACTCAACAGCTATCACATTGCAGTAAATGAAGAGATTACACTCTTAATTTCCCACGGAAATTCGTAAGTTGCAAGTTTCACTGCTTGAAAGAATTTAGAACTCCATTTTTCAGCATGGTAAAGATGGGATAAAAAAATAAAAAGCTTAAAACAGATAACCGATATCAGCAACTAGGTATATATCAGAATATATCAGCGACTAGAATACATGTGGAGGAAATCATAGAGTAGATCGTAGCTGAATCAAACCTGAAATGGTACAACACTGTGTTACATGAAGCATATCCAAATAGTGCTGAAGGGCAAGCTCCCGTTCTCTGAGGGTTCGCGCTGAAACGAACAATGGATCTTCTAAGTAGTTTGGTTCAAGATGATGCACAAAGACAGAATGATGCGGTGGACGGACTTTATGAATGGCACCTGGAAAGGCTGTTGTGCAGTAGGTGGGTTCTTGTTTCCAGAATCTTCGTGTCCATTTGTACTCCTTGCGCGGCAGAAAAATTGGATACGTATATTGCGAAATCTCTGTATGGCAGATTGCTCAGTTTGGAACCTAATTTTATGACCTCTTGATGATTAATCAGGTCCATTCAGTGTAAAATGTTTCACGAGTCTTCACATTAAATTGCATTGGATAAAATCCATGAAGAGAAAAGTAAATATGGGAAAAGAAACAGATCTTCAACGAAATTCAACTAATCTTATTTGCTTATTTGCATCATTCTAGAGATTGAGAAATCTGAATTCACCTCGCAGTGCTATTTAGAACATGTCTTCGACTGTCTTGTGTATCTCTCATTATCATGTCGGCGTAGTCGATTAAGGAACGTTGCGTTGATCAGAAGGATATCGCCAGAATACCGTTTTGAAGTGCCAGAGGGTTCATGAGTTCATATTTCTTCTGATGAGTAATAGCATTCAGTCAAAATTTTTAATAATCCACTAGAAGTTCGTTGACCGACCGTTTTTGGTGTTAGCGGATACAGCAAGGTCTGATGGAGAAGAAGCATTGCCGCATCATGTCGAGCCATCCTCTTACATCGATCGTTGTCTGCTTCCTACGGTAAGAATAACAGGATGGTTTTTAGGAAGCATGTATTTGCTCTTTACATACTCACCCACGGTGAGGGTATTATTTGCAATATTCTTAAGCTCGAGGCGCAGCGTGCCACGTCTAAACGGGCTTATACTAAAAGTCACTAATCCGCAGTCTCGCGTAAGGTTTGAATGAATAGCAGCATCATCGGCGGCAGCACAGATCCGTTGCTCTGTGATCTATGGTAGGGCAGCTGGCGTCGTTCTTTCACGTTCCACTTCGGTACTTCACTTGAACCTAAGTGAACATATACGTCCAGAAGATGCGCTGCTGATAGTCAGTCTTCTAAGCCCCCCTCGCTCTTCAGAAATCTTAATACAGTTAGATCGTCTGACCAGCGCGTTGATAATGAGCATAAATTCTATTTGATTGTTTTGTTTGTATTGTTTAGTCCTTTTAAATTTTTTACTTGTTGTTTTAAAAATATTGCTTGATATTTTATACGAATGTATAGTTTTTCATTGCAACACTCTTCAGTATTTATTCCATATATGCTATTTTGTAGAATTTGTGCGGATCGAACTGCATCTATCTTAAGGATGCATAGTTCACAAACACTTTATATTGTTATGTTACTGCTGCTGACTTGTGCCTTTTGAAGATGGATCAAATGCAGTGCGAAATGTCGAGAAAATTGTACATTTGACACATCAGCTTTGTAAACCATTTGAACAATTTAATATTTTGTTAAAATTTTTATTTTAATTGCGTATTTGTTTTATTACTCATTTGTGTAGACTAGTCGTGATTTGTTATGTTTATTTTTGTCATTGCATTGGACTCCCAAATTGACAGATTGTTTTAAAAGCCCATTTAACTTTAAGAGCATATAATGAAATGAATCAGTCGGCCACTTATACTTTCATCTGACTTCATTGCGAAGTACAGAACAGATGTAAATGCTTGATTGCTGTCAGAAGTCATGAGTGTAACTTTCGGTTGCACCAGATAGCTTTTGGTACTACCAGGTTTCTGTCTGTAGTACCGTACCTCGTTTAAATACTACGCGTTTCGGAACAGTTTGAGATACCTGAAGTAGGCTTTAGGAGTTAACTTGGTCATTGACACATAGCAAATAATCCGGGGAAGCCTGGTCACCTGCAAGATGCACCGACAAGATCTTTCTTTCGCGAAATATACGACGGTATTACTGCATTCCTGTTTTGCCGTTTTTGTGCTTTTAGTTTACATATCTCAATTGTGATGGATTGCTACCGCTGAGAAACAAACTGTATTCGTTTTTTTATTGCCTAGTGACAACACCAAAATTGATTGATTGATAGCAAGAAGCAACAAAATTTGTTTGGAAAACTTCCGATTAAAACTGTCCAGTGCCCGCAGAGGCCTTGGAGGGAAATACCAACCTAAAAATTTTTATAGGAGGCAAACCTTTTCGCGGCGAGGAGTATGACCTTTTTACAAAAGAAAGCATAGCTTACTCTAAACCCAAGTCAGCCATTGCTGATTTGTACAGTACTGCTGTTGATATATCTTTAGCCTTAGTTGAAAGCAGCAACAAAGAAAATCTGCAGATATTACTGTAATGCTCGCGTCTAAACTGCAGTTGATTGATGTGAACTGAGTTTTACCTAAATGCAGTTACTCATTTTTGAAGTGGTTCTGTACAAGAGCCTCAAAAATTCCCTTGCTCCTGAAAGAGCAGATATGAAATAAGCTCTTTAGCTTTTGCCGGAAAACTTAAACACTTGTGTTATTCCTTACATTCAGATTTGCATAGTCCCTTATGCAAATGAAAATTCATATTTTCATGATATGCTAGGTGGAGGTAGAAAAATATAAAAGTTAATCGAAGTACAGGATATCCAGCCTGCGTGGTAGGCCCTGCACCAATTTTAGCAACTCTGGGTTTTGAAGGTTCAGTGTGATTGAATTAAGAGTTAAGATTCAGCTGCAGTTAAGGGTTGAATTCAGTTTCATCTTACAGAAGGCTTGCTATTGACATTTTGCATGACAGGTCTCTGTATAATTCTTGAAATGCTTAAACATCACGGGACTTTATTTGATCACATATTCTGTGAGTATGCTCTGCATTGTGATTGTGAATAGTATGCCTTATGTGCTTTAATTATGTATGTGTTCATTGCTTGAACTGATCCTCAAGGACGTTGAGTCTTCTTTAGGCACTGCTGCGTTTTCCATCAGATTATCCGTACTCACCTCCAAGTATGCGGTTTCTGTCAAAGGTGTGGCATCCGAACGTTTACGAGGTAAGAGTTTGATTAGTGATTCTCTTCATTTAACATGCTATGTGAGCGTTTCTGTGCTGCAGAACGGCGACTTGTGCATCAGCATCTTACATCCACCCATTGATGATCCGCAGAGTGGTGAACTTCCTTGTGAGAGATGGAACCCAACGCAGAGTGTCAGGTAAAATATGAATTTTAATTCTTTCCTGCATGTGCCTCCTTTCATATGCCTTTACTTATATTTGTTGATATAATTATTTCCTGACACCTAGTGACCTTGTCTGTTTTTTTTTGGGACAAATGACCAAAGATTTTATGTTAATATGAAGCTTAAAAGACGTATTTAAGCTTTCGTTTGTCTTGTTATACAGAAGCGCGTAGTTGTAATTGTGCTGCTAGAAAAGGTTACTGCATCTTGAGTTTTGATCGGTTGTTGTGGAATATTTCTTCTAAAAGAAATGTGTAAAAATAGCGTGAGAAGATTTTATTTTACACTGTGTAAATTACTGATTTATCAGGTTTTATTTTGCAAGACCTTTGTCACCTGCCCTCTTCAGAGCATGATACTGTAGTCGGTATGGTTTTACGGTTTGAAGTAGACCAGGTGCGAACAACAATGGAAGAAAACCGATTAGAACCAACCGTAGCATGAAAAAATCCATGATATATGGAGCAAAATCTGGATGGTCGTCTACCGCCATATAAACCAATAATTCGCATTTTGTGTAAAATATTTTGTCACCTTTCAGGGTGACCATTTACGCATGAATAATTTAGTCAAAGAAGAAATTTTTTGAAGTTCATTTTTTCGATATGCATCACCTAAATTTAATTTATCTGTCATTTTATCAATGCAGGGATATTGGAGTGAAATAATCGTTAGTCTTTTTTTTAAATAATAATTTCTAAGGTCAGGGATAACTTGAAGGCGAGGAGAGTCATTTCCTGACGATGACCTATGCAAATTTGGTCGAAACGTTAGAATTTCTGTAAAAAAATTTTTTCGTGTCGTCGCCAGCCATAGAACTAGAAAACCTATAACCTTTTTTTCAGAATGGATTTTTAAAGATTAATTTAATGTTGTTTGTTGTTGCGATGTTTCGGTTTCAGGAAATGTTTTTGTGAATATGCCTGATGGTTTGTGTTTACAACCGGAACCTAAAAACCCAAAGGTTATTTTGCGTCTTTCTAAAGCCACTCTGTTGTTGAAGCGGTATACAAACGAGAGATCTCACGCATTTTTATGCAGTTTGCTTACTACCACTATCTAGTCTGCATTACATGTGTATTGCAGTGTAGATCTTATTGCATCATGTATTTTAGACCTTGCATGTGATGGCAGGAACTTTATGCACAAATCCGTATTCGATTGTTGAGTTGCAGAGCGGGTTTGAAACGCATTTAGCGCGGTGATATTCTGTTCACATTTCAAGCTATTTGACAATCTTTTCACTTGTCTAATCATCAAGATTTTCATTAACAGCAGCGACCCAGATCTGTCATTCATGTTTCCTGTTGTTTACTTCGTTTTCGTTCATTTTTGTGGTGATATGATGGATTGAAACCTACCTTATTAGTTGTGCGATGGATTGAAACCTGCCTTATTAGTTGTGCTCTGATGAATGAAGTTTCCATTTTTGGTAGCGAAATAGGTTGGCAACAAAACTTTTGTGTCATCGGTTTTGTTTGATTTTCTCAACCATTAGTCGGCAAAACAGCTATACTGTTGAAAGTTCGACCATTAAAGGCGTCAGTATGTACGTTAGCGCATTTATCAAATGAGCCACACCCAAATTCTTTAAACTGGTAGTGGAACAGCGCATGATCATGAAGGAGCATGATATTGTCGCTGCCTTCTACTCAGTGATCAGACTTATAATGTTGCCTACATTACAGGCTGTGTCGCAGATGTGCGCCAGATTTCGAACCTCAGGCGTCGAGTTAATCAGAGAGGGACGAAAGATTTAACGACGTATTTTACCCCCTCGCTCATATTTGTCTATGGGTGGGACCTTTAAGCAGTCTACGTACGACGCCATGGCATTTGAGCATCAGCATTGCCTGATGTATCTCCCATCATTGTCCGCTAGAACCACCTGGCACTCATTACGAATAATGTTTCAGGAGTTATTATTCCTCGTATGCTACTGCATAAACGTCATAAACTGTTCGTACGCCCGGGTATATCAAATAACGAGTGATTGGTCCAAGACCAGATTTCTGATTGTGGAATAGCTTATACAGTCCTTAAAATTTATTTTAAAGAGCCATTGATTATAAACGGACTAATGTTAATTGACTGATCACTGTTAGTTAAATTCTTGCTTGCATATGCGATTTTTAAGCATATTTTTGACTGTTTTAATGGATTTGTTTTAGGACGATCTTGCTTAGCGTCATATCCCTTCTGAACGAACCAAACACGTATTCGCCAGCTAATGTAGATGCTTCAGTGATGTACAGACGTTGGAAAGAATCGAAGGGGATGGACGACGAGTACGGAAAAATCATTAGGTTTCTCCGTGACGTTATGTCAATGACTAACTGACTTAAGATGACTTTTAGAAAGCAGGTGGAAGCGTCAAGAGTAGAGGCAGAGAAAGACGGCGTGGTGGTGCCGACAACTGTAGAAGAATATTGCATTAAACCAAAGGTGAAGCCTTCGACGGGTGTCAGCGAATGCCTGGACTTCTACGATGAGTATTACGACTACGGGGATGAAGACGATGACGAAGAGGGCCTCAACTACCCGGACGACAACGAGGATTCCGGTCAGGGCGAAACATGACCGTCGACGACCACCGAGAAATGCAGAGTGACGTCTGTTGATCCACCGTTTAATTACGGTACAAGAGGTTGCGAAATCTTGTCATAGGCTATCAACAGACACTCTGCCATTCAGTGGCACTCAGTATCGTCTACTAACGCTTCATCTACGTCCACCCCACCGCAGCGACTTGTCAACTTGTTCATAAATTCATTTGCCAT